CTGATCTATAATGTAACCTGGTGTTATGATTCCTTACATTCTGAAGATATATTTAAGTAAAAGGAGTATGATGATAGTATGATAGTAAAATGATGAAAGTAGTACTACTGCTACTGCCACTGATAAGTATGATAATAATGATAACGATTATCATTATAATGATAGCGATAATAAAATAATATTGATATGGATATAATTATAAAAACATAGGAAAATACTGTTACTATACTCATACAAATGAGTATGATAACGATGATAATAATGATAACATCAATCATAAGGATGATAATTATGATAGTAATACAATAATGAATATTATGATAATATAAATGCAAATGAAAATGATAATAATGATCATAGAATATCAATGATAACGAACTAGATTATAAATAATAATACTAGCGTAAATGATAATGTTGGCACTACTGATAATGCTGATGATAATTATAAGATAATGATGTTCATGATGAAAATAACAATGATGTGACTGGTAATAATAAATAACATGATAATAAAAGTGTCAATAGATAATGACAAAATCCATATGACTAATGACCATAATACGACTAATATCACAAATACTAATACTGATGATAATCTAGAATGGCAATGATAGTTGCTCAATTGTTTAATGGTAATGTAAATTATGATGGTAATAACAATAACAACATATCATCATCATCACCATTACTGAAATAACTATTTTTATTATTGATACATTATTATTATATTTTCATTGTTGTCATTGTTATTACTAGTATTAAAAATTACCATTATCATTATATTTTTAGTATTTATTGTTACCGTTGTTGCTGTTAATACTAAAGCAGTCGTTATTATCATCATTATTATTATTATAGATATTATACTGCTATAAATATTAACATTCATTAATATTCATATCATTATTATGCTATTGTTATCATAACCTTCTTTTCAGTATCTACTAGTTTCTATCATTATTACGATATTTACTATTGATTTTATCATTATTGTCATTTTCGTTATCATTTTTTAAATCATTTATGTAGTTGATATTAATATTAATACCATTATTATTATCATTACTATTATTATTACATTTATTCTTTTTATCATCATTGTTTTTATTTTTATATTGTGTATTATTGTATTATATCATATTATAATTATTCATTATTATTATTATTATTATTATTATTTATTATTATTATTATTATTGTTATTATCATCATCAATCATGGCCATCAATATTGATATTATGAACATCCACATTATCTTCACTATCATTATTGTTACTGTCACTATTATTATATTGTTATTGTCGTTATTAGTATTATGACTTTTGTTCCTCTTATCATTATTACTATTATCATAGTTATAATTATAATTATCATGATCATTACTGTTATTCTTCTTATATCATAAAAATCACAGTTATGGTTATGATTATTACAATTAGTAATATCAATCTTGTTATTTTTATACTTGTCATTGATATCGTTAATTCTAGAACTATTATCAAAAGTATCTTTGTTTTTTATTTTTTTATTTTTTTATAGCTGAAACTATTTGTCATAATATAATACTATATTGATACTAATACAATAACAATAATCACGATAATAATATTCATGATAATGGTTATCTTTGTTGTTTTTATCATTATTAGTGTTATTATCATTATCATCGTTTTTTATTATTTCAATATCAATATTATCATTTATTTGATATATTATTATTATTATATTATTATCATTAATGGTAATAATTTATCGTCCTTAATATTATTTTTATTATTTATCATTACTTTTATCACTATTATCACTATTATCAAAATCATTATCTTTTTTGTCATCACCTTTATCTCTTGTTATCATTACTTATTTTCTTTATGATAATCATTGATGCCTTCATTAAATGAACAGAACAGAGCTGATGATATTAAATGTAATAATTGTGAGGATTTTTTTTTTTTTTTTTTTTTTACAATAGTGATACAAATAGTAACGATAATAATGATAACAATTGTAATGAGAATAACAATGCAAACAAAAATGATGAATTTGATAGATAATGATATAATGATGATTAATAATAACAATAGCAATAATAATATTAATATAATAATATATATGATGATGATATGCATGAATATGATGATATATATCAATAATCACGTTAATGAAATGATATAATATCGATAAATATTTCAATAATGTAATATTATAATAAATAACATAATTATATGATCCTATTATTAATGATAACAATAATAACAATAATGATAATAAAAAAATAAAAGAAATAATAAAAAAAAAGAAAATAATAATAATAATATATTAATTATCGAATAATAATAATGATAATCATTATTACAAGAATTGTATCCTTAATAATGAGATTATAATGATAATATTAATATAAATGATTATAACCTGAACAGCAAGAAAAATATTAATAATGATAATTATAGAAATCATTAGAAAGCAAACAAGGTCACTGATAACAACGGCACTGATGATAATAACACTACTGAAGTACTGATCCAGGAACGAAAATGAAATTAGTCAGAACAGCAACAAAACCATTAATATTAATGCTAATAAAAGTATTAACTTTTACAATGATTTGACAATGAAAGTATTATTACGGCTATTTGCCATTGATTATTATTACGATAATAACAATAACATGAAAAATGATTATAATAAACATATGTAAAGCAAGATCTTTCCAGTGAGGTAATAGACCTTCCATGCGCATGACAAGTTCTGCAACATACAAGGAGCAGGTGCATGACGTCACTGCACAAGCGGGTATAAGTACGTTTATTCCCAGAGTCTCTGACACAAGCCATCCAGCATCCACACCAACATGAACTCAAAGGTAAGTGCCACTTAAGGGTTCCTGTGGAGTCAGGCTGTGCAAAGATATTTTCGTTACTGTGGTTAGAACAATTAGCTGCAGCAACGATGATAAATCCAGATCTTATTTTTGATAATATATATGATATTGGTTCTTGTAAGATATATTCATTGAGAATATGAGAGGAGCTTTCGTGGAATATGCTTTACAGCTTTCTTCTTCTTCTCCAGTAATAAGTAACCACTTCCTCCTCAGGTCCTTCTTCTCGTGACTCTCGTGGCTGTGGCTGCCGCTGACAGGCGCCCCTACTCGTACTCCGCCCCCGAGGTCAGTCCTTTATCTTTGTATCAAAATGTCGTACTGAGGTTAAAGTAGTCTGGTATTTAGGAATAATAATTTCCACTGCAAATGAATATTGTAGAAAGGTCAAATTGCATTTTGCACCCAATCTTTAAAAAATAATACACATATGAATTTCAATTGAGTCATTACCATCCACCGTATACAACTGTTACGATATATACAATTTTCAAATTTACCCTGTCAATGCATAATTTATGTTTTTTTTAAAGTTTTCCTCTGAGGAATTCGGCCCCGCCAACTACAACTTCGACTGGGCGGTCCAGCACAGCGACTCCGGCAACAACTTCGGCCACCAGGAGGCCCGCGACGGCCACGACACCCAAGGATCCTACTACGTGCAGCTCCCCGACGGCCGCCTGCAGACCGTCAGGTTCACTGTCCAAGGAGACTCAGGATTCCTCCCTGAGGTGTCCTACGACGGACAGGCTCGTTACCCTGACTCCTTCGAGTCGTTCGAGTCATTCGAGTCGTTCGAGTCTCGTGAATCTCGTGGCTACGCCCCTCCAAGGCCCGTGTATGGTTAGAATTTGCCAAAGATTGAGAACTCGTTGCCACATCGGTCACCATCACTTCCTCAGATAATTTATTTTACATCACGTGCAATACATAATGTTACCTTTGATTTTGAATAAATCAAGCAGATAAAGCTAACTTGTCTATAATGTTACCTGTCGTTATGTCACATTGGATTGTGAAAATGTATTTAAGTAAAAAGAGTTTTATGACAGTAATGATAGTAAAATGAAGATGAGATAGTATTACTACTCTTACTGCCTTTAATAATAATGATAGCAATTATGAAAATATTGTTACTAGTACTAATACAAATGTTTATGATGATAATGATAATAATGATAGATTTAATAATTAAAATGATAATAATTAAATAATTGATATTGATATCATCATGATTATGATGATAATAGAGATAATGATACCAATGATAACGATAGTAATGGTCATAACATATTAATCATAATGATATAAGAATATGAATATTAATGATATGAAGATCAGTGATAATGATGGATATGATAATGATGCTCATGATAATGACAGTCAATATTAGTAATGACAATGACAATTCTGATAAGGGAATTGATACTAAAAATGTCATGGATACTAATAATATAAATATTTATACTAATGATTACCTAGTTTCCGATGGATTAACAGCAATAGCATTTGTATGCTAATGATAAGCTAATACTGATAAAAGCAGAAATAATGATTATTATTAGGAGGGCAATGAAAACAATAACCGCAACAACAATCATAATAAATATAATTGTAGTAATTTTCATTAACTTCCTCGTCGTCATCACAGCATGTCTGAAATTTCAATTATCATTACTATTACCATAAATATTATTAGCATTATAATCATATGAATTTTAGTGTTGCCGTCGCTGCTATTATTACAGACAGATTTTTCGTTTTTATTATCATTAATATAAATACAGACACTGATATCAATATCAAAGTTAATTATTACTATTATTATCACTGTTATTACTAATTACTAATCATTACTATCATCATCACTATTGCTGCTGGTCTAGTAATCACCATCTTCACCAGTATTGTTTTACAATTTTCAATTAGTATTACGATAATTGTTATTTATACCACCATTATCGTTGTTGTTTTTATCATTTATCATTTATCATTACTGCTATTATTATCTTTATCATTATCATGGTTATTATTGTTATTATTATTATATTATTATTATTATCCTTATTATTAATATTATTATTATTATCCTTTGTTATATTATATTATATTAT